GCAATCTCTCTCTCTGTCTCTGTCTCTGTCTCTGTCTCTGTCTCTGTCTCTGTCTCTGTCTCTCTCTCTCTCTCTTAAATTCCCTGCCTCATGCTATTTCCTGGCTTTAGGTTTTTGTTTTGTTTTGTTTGCTTTGTTTTCTATTGTTTTCCATTTCGTTCTGTCTCTTTGAGTAGGTTGTTGCCTTATTGGAATTCTGCCATAGAAATCCTACTTTCTGGTATGATGTGTGTTTGTGTTTATGTGTGTGTGTGTTTATGTGTGTGTGTGTGTGTGTGTGTGTGTGTGTGTGTGTGTGTGTGTGTGTGTGTGTGTGTGTGTGTGTGTGTGATAGAACTCACTGAGTACCATGACAACGTTGGAGTTCTGATTGGTGAGTATTTTTAGTCCTTTGTTGACTTGCAGTATGTTCCTTTCCTCATTCCTTAGGTATCCACAGCTTTATTCTTGATCTCTGAAAATAAGTGTTAGGGTATAGGCTGCCTTGCCAAAAGTTTGTATATAACCTTCAAGTTTAAGAAAATCATTTCCAGTTCTTCTAGACTAGTTCCAAAAGATATGGTCTGGAATATGCCAATGCAATAACAAATAGTAATTACTGATTAAATAGCTATTATAAACAATATTCTGTGCCTGACAACATATGAAATATAAATCAGGATGCTACTGCCATTTATGTAGGTACTGAGGTTTGTATGAATAAAACGAAATGATATAAAGTTATATATATATATTTATATATATATATAAAGTATCGTAATGGAGCCCATTATTTTGTATACTAATTTTTAAAATACTTGTAAAATGATGGTATTGTATGCAAGGCATTCTTTATAAATAGTTAACTTTAAATAAGCATTAAGACATATTGCAAGAGTTCACAGGTATAATGGTATGAATTAGAAGGTCAGCTGAGTATCTACAGAAAACTGCCTTGGAGAAACTTCAGTTCCTAAGAAACAAGGTCAATAAGGAAAATACGCTTCCCATAGCAGGAAGCCATCAGGTTCTTGGAGGGCAAAGAGAGGAGGTCTCGAGAAGAGTTTAGGTTCTAACAGAAGGGGAAGCTGCAAATCCCAGGCTCAGGAGTGAGCGGGGGCAGCCTTTTCCACTCTGCATGCTGTAACCTGAGGTGCTGCAGAAGCAATACAAGAGGGTGTAGCATGAATACCTAACTTGAAAACATATGTGGAAGTAAGAAGTCAAGTGCATCAGTAGAAGCAGGAACGTACAGCTGAATGAAGGAGCTTTCCAGTTTTCCAGGAGGGAAGCACGCAGGGGCTCAGGTTCACTTCACCTGAACTGGTTTTGCTACTGCTGTCCTGGATCATGGTCCTTGATTTCATCCCTTTGACCACAGGAAACATGAGATAAACATAGGACATACAACCTGAACAAGCTGACATATAACTTCCAATCTAGGATGTAGACTGTGCCTTGAAAGAGGAAACACATTATAGAGGAAAGAACGTTTTAGTCCATGTAACATCACTACATTGTAGCATCCTGATTGAATTCAGTTTGATGAGATAATTAGTGGAATAATTTGTCCTAGTCTTAATTATGCACCAATTTCCCATTCATACATTCCATGGAAACTGCCAACTCCCTTCTTTACCCAGAAACTTGTCAAATTTCTAGTAATCCAAAAGAAAATTCTTCCTCAGTGCTTGAGCCCAGAAAATCTCAGCCTTTTGGGAGTGATAAATTTGCTAATAAGGAGAAGATCCCTCAAGGACTAGAAGGCTCTGAATCATGCCCTTCAGAAAAGTGACAGAGATCTCTGGGAGGTTGGGGGCAATATTGGGAAGTAAAAGTACTGGGCTTCACAGAAGACGGGGCTAGCACTTTGGTGGCAGCACCACAGAGGTGGATTACATCAGGAGCACCTGGGACATTACCCAGAATGCGTGGACACAAGGACCTTGCTGTCTCAGGCAATGAGAGTGACACTCTCCTGGGTGAAGACGGGAGGGTACTCCATCTGATGGTATTGAATAGGTAAGAAGTTCTTACACAGACTGAAAAGGAGATATTTCTAAACTGCCAGTGTTGATTTGCTCTCCACCCAATCAAGAAGTACCTAGAAGCAGTCTTTTCTGTTTCAGAAAATAAAACAAAAAAATTTGCAGTTGCAAGTTACAGCATGGCAATATGGCTCAGTGGGTAAGGGTACTTGCCTGACTACCTGCTTGATCCCCTCAAAGCCACGCTGTAGAAAGACAAGTGGCCACCTCAACCTGGCCCCTGCCCATGCTCAGTTGCACGTGTGCAAGAGCACATACAGGTATGCTAGTGTGCACACACACTCACAAGTGTAAAACTGAAATGAGTTCCCGTACTTTAGGAGTTAGAGGATTAATGCCATAAGGGGTTTGAATAGTTGAGTACCTACCTAGAATATAGCAGCTATGTGGTAGGCAAGGGCTTGCATATTTAAAAACTTCAATAAGATGGGTAGTTCAATAATGATGTTTCAGATAAGAAGAATGAAATTCAAAAATAATGCTATCTACCTGGCTTTAAGCATCATGACACATAAACCATGGAATCATGATCTAAACTTCAGTTTCATGTTAAAATGTGCACATAAGAACACAGGTTCTTATTAACTGTACTCCTCTGAAAAGTACAGTTTTAGGAGAAAGGGTCAAAAGAGAAGCCAGTCATTCATTCATTCACTCACTCATCTACCCACTCATTCAACAGATATGTTTTGAGGGCCCACTAAGATGACTGGAGTATTTATTTGGAGGCTAAAGAAATAGCATCAAGCAAAACTAGCCCACACCGGTCTCACATTTAAGTGCTGGTTGATAGAAGGTCACAATTTTTTTTTTTTTTTTTTTGGTTTTTCGAGACAGGGTTTCTCTGTGTAGCTTTGTGCCTTTCCTGGGACTCACTTGGTAGCCCAGGCTGGCCTCGAACTCACAGAGATCTGCCTGGCTCTGCCTCTGCCTCCCAAGTGCTGGGATTAAAGGCGAGTACCACCACCACCCGGCTTAAGGACACAATTTTTCAAAAATCATGGTAGAGAAGTTGTAGAAAGAAAAACAAAGCAGGTGGGGATATATTGAGGACTATGGGGGTCCATCCCCTCGACAGTCCCCTCCCAGGGTCCGAGAAGAATCTACAACCAGCTGATAATTTAATCTTTGATGAAAGGAAGTGAATCTATGTACACAAAACTCCTTAGTCTATACACTTTATTATTCAGTGTCAGTTCTCTCTCTACAAGCTTCTATTCTGCTCTTGTGCCCTTCTTGCCTGAGTTCTTTCTACATTTATCTACTGTCCCCTCTAAGTTCTAACTTAATTCTCTCATCTTTGTTCTGCCTCATCTAGGTCCTTCTCATCTCGTTCTTACTCATCTAGTACTTTCCCATTGGGCTCTTCCTCATCTTCCACCCTGACCTCCAGTTTTCTAGTCAAAAATCTTCTCCAGCCAAAATCCTCAGTACCCTCTCTTAGTTCTCCTTATACCTCAGTTCCCCTCAGTCTCTGAGGTGTTCAGTTATAAACCCAAGCCATAGCAATCCTCTGCCAGAGCAAGGTAACCAGGCTTGAATTCTTATGGGGTCATAAAGGCAGGTAAGAATTTTCTTCAGGTAGTGGCCCCCAGGTTTTCTTTTACAACCCAAATGAGAGCTAATGATTGGTTAGTCAAGAAGAGAATTTATGTGCTCAATCTAAATTCCTAGAAGTGGTTAGGTAAGAAATTAGGAGTCTATTAGTAAGGCTGTAAGGAAGGAGGGTCTTACCCTAAATAGCACAAGAAATAAAGCTATCCTCCTGACCTAGGAGACAAGTTGTTTTGTTTGACCTTGGATGCTTGATAGGTATTTTAGATAAATAAACTGTTAGGTGTTCTTGGAAGTATGCATAGCATTTCAAGAAAGTCACTGTAGGAACCAGCTAATATATATATAAAAGCTAAACTGTCACCAAGACTTCTTAAGCCATAGCTTGACCTTCGGAAAAGTCCTTGACTTTTCCAAGTAGTAGCTTTCGTAACAGTCGCTGAATTCCATTACATTTTCCTGCAGCTTGCAGCAGGGGTAGGCCGAGAGTGGTATGGGTACTCTTTTACAAGTGACCAGGAAAGACAATTGTGATAAAATGACATTTATGCAAAGACACTCATGGCAGGAACCATGGAGACACATGTTGGGCTGCACAAAAACACAGGCCCTGGACAAGAGCTAATGTGCCTGAAGGCTGAGAAGGATAGGAAGAGCTAAAGGGAAGAGAAATGTACACAAGAGGCTAGCGGAGGGGGCGGGGCAGCCCTGTCAGAGCTTTCCAGGCTGCAGCCAAGCCTGGGATAAAATTCAGACACTAAGGCCTCTGACTTGAACAGAAGGCTTCAGATCTTTGTAAAAGTAGTTCCTAATGTTCTCAGGCAATTTTAGCTCTGATTAACTGCGTGCAAAGGCCTTGATGCGTTTTTTATAATTACATTGTAGGTATTGTCTATGAGGCATATTTTCTGTTAAAGAGCCAAGAAGAATCACTGTACAATGATTTTTTTTTTATGTCTCCATATAAAATAAAATTAATGGCCCCTCCAGCCTAGTGTTTGTTTGCGGGGGTCATTATCTTAGAAGGAGGAGAATTCTCGTTCATGCTGACTAAGCATATTGATTAAGAATAAATTGCAGGTAAGTTGAAATATGATTTTTAAATGAAATAAATCCAAGCATGCATGGCTTGGCCCCCTGATTTTAAACTTAAAAATCTGGAGATTTTGAAAAGTTAGTCTTCTTTTGTTCTTATCTGGTGCAAAGGTATGACCCTTAAGTTCGTAAGTACCTGGAACTACCATGTTTTATGGGGGCAGAGAAAATTTCCAAAGGGGTGAAAAAGATTTAAATAATATTCCATTTGGGTAGTATAATGTTAATTAGGAAGATGACAAATAGAAATTAATTTCAATTTTACATGACCTGCTGTGTGTCTCAGCTTCTAGTTCATCCAGAGTTTGTCTTCTGCTTCTCCAGCAGAACAGGTACTCCACTTGGGGATGCCAACTGAATAGAAATTAAATGAACTGCTCGACCACAAGTGCCTGAGGAATTGCAGAGGTAACTTTCATTAACCTTGATCTTAGAGTAGAAAGCTCTTGAATGTCAATGGGGGAACTAGACTCTGTTGAGCTGATATTCTTTAATATTCCATGCTTAATCAAAAATGGCAATAAAACATTTATCATCAGAGATTTACACAGATGTATCTTAAAACTTTGACTGGGATAAACAAATTGAGTCACTGAAAAGGGTCAAAAATGATTGCTACTAGCGTCTTTGAAATTAACTGGCTTTTAAAAAGGAAATTTCCACACAGCAATGTTTTTGATATCTCTGCTCACAGATTATCAGCATTAAGGTATTTCCCAATGTTGACATTTCTTTTTATTTTTTTAAGTTTTTGAGAGTTTTTGTACAGATACGCAATGAAATGTGGTCATATCTACCCCATTTTCCCTTAGGCCCTCCTGTCCCTACTCATCATGCTGCGTTCCAATGTCTTTTTATTGTTTTTTTTCTTTAAACAATCCACCAAATTCAGTTAATGCCGCCCATATGTGCACGGGTAGCATCATCCTTTGGTGGCATCCAACAGAAAACCTACCAGTTGCCATTTTCTTTATAGGACTCCTCTGTGGTGATGCAGGGTCACCTGCCTCTAACCTCTGTATAGTTCCTAACTCTTGTTTCCCTTGCGCCATTAGTATGTGTCTGAAAGCAAGCGAAAAGTTCTGTCCTTCACGTTAAGTTCTGTCTGCACAAAATGTACCACACAGGCTTCCTGAGAGTCCTCACGCTGTGCCCACTGCAGCACTAGGAAGGTTAGATATGTTAAGAGTTCCAGAACGCCCTGCTCTCTCATCCACTCTCCTCTCCACTTACGCACTCTTCAAGTGCATTCTGACAGGAACGAATGTCTGAGAAAGGACTGGGCAGGAGTGAGCAAAGAAGGAAAAGTCTCAGAATTGGTCAGGGGTAGCTTAAATCATCTCCAACCCAGATAGTTTTAGTATATAACTAGTGACTTTACTGTAAAAGATCAGTCAGTCAGTGGATTTGGCCAATTTGGGTTGTGAGAAGGCATGTGGAAAAAAAAAGTTAGATGTCAGAGTAGACAAAATTATTCATTCAACGATTACCACTTCTTCAGTATTCGGCAGAAAGCTGTGATTTATAGATATGGCTTCTACAGGTGACTCTGTGTACATATGTGTGCACATATGTACTTTGGTGTACTTTGGAGGAGGAGGAGGGAGGCAATGAGCAGTAAGCAGTTCTCAGTTGATGAAACCTGGCCTTTAATTTGCCGTCTCTAACCAGAGGTTGGGATCTTTACCCAAAAAGCAATAATTAGACAACAAAGGAAGTTAAATTGTTTTAGATCATGATGCCTTATTTCTCAACTATGGTTTTCTCATGTGTGTTATGTTTTGATATTGGAAAGATTCCATATATTTTCCATGTCCATTCCAATCTATTCCATGTCCATTTACATAGACAGATATCAAAACCACCATGTTGTCCTTGTGCACATCATGTGTAAAACCCTACGCCGGCAGATTACTGGATCTTTGCCATCAATATTTAACAGTAGCCATGGGAAATATTTTCAGAATAAATTTGGAAAGATCTTGAGGAAAACTGTTCTAGTGTTAACCCTTCCCCTTTTATTACTTTATAATCCACGGGGAGGGAGGAACTGAAGTTGACTGCCTAAGCCATAAGAAGCAGAGATGGCGACATAGCCATTTATTCTTCCAAGACTGATAACCTGGGGAATCTTGACGATTGCTTCAAAGCACAGCCATGTTACAAATCAGCTGGTGTCAACAGTGATTCTTCATAACATCCACAAACATATTGAGATTAGCAATTGCAGTAAAAATATTGTGCTACCAATTCTGGTTCATTCAAAATCATATGGAATTCAAAGTCACTGCTAGTCTTAACTGGTTAGATGTTATGTATTCTTTAACAAGATACAGAACAATTGGGAGGACTTTAACTTCAAGTTAATTAATGTTGATGGATTCTGATTTGTTGTTGGTTGATTCAAGAAGCACTTTCTGTAATTAATCCTAGCTTCATTTTGGGGCTGAAAGGATGGCAGATATGTACTTTGGTGGCCTTGAATGGATGACAGGCTTCTGTGAAGCATCCTGGCTGTCAGACATACAGTTCCTTATTGGACAGACTGTTTCATGAGGGCAGAGGGGGTGTCGATACTGGAGCAGAACTGTTTGGAATTACAGCACCCCTCAGTTGCTGCCCACCTGGGAGACTCTAGGCAAGGTATTGAAATATTTAGTGCCTCTGTTCAGGTATCTGCAAAATGGAGATGAAAATAACAATATGGGATTCATGGATCTCTTTAAAAAAATAAAGTTATCTGTTATAAGATGATTAGGGAGGTGATGGCATATAGTTCTCCATATTAGTATTTCTAATAAGTGTCCTCAGCAGACACTGATGTTAAAAGAAACTGTAATTTCCGTAGACAACTGCAGAAGTGGCAGTGGACAGAATAAAGTCCAAATTCATTGTCTCTGGCTTTCTTCTGACCAGTTTCTATCTGAATCTATAAGCACAGAGAAAGTGATTTCCCTAGCACATCTCCAAACTGGAAATGAACAGCTCTGTCTCATCATAAACTATCTCTTCAATTAACACTAAAATTGTCATTTCAGCAGATCTACACAGCTAGACATCTTATATGTTCTAAATTTAAAAAAAAAAAAAGAAGGAAAGAAAAAAGGAGAAGAAAAACAAACATGCAGTCATTCATGCCCAAAGTTTTGCTTCCCCTTATCCTGGTACTGTCTGTTTGGCCTGTGTCCACAGAGAGCAGAGCTCCTTCAGGCTGAGGGACTTTCTTTAAAATGTAGCAACAGAACTGGGTGGTGGTGGCAGTGCACGCCTTTAATCCCAGCACTCAGGAGGCAGAGGCAGGCAGATCTCTGTGAGTTCAAGGCCAGCCTGGTCTACAAAGTGAGTTCCAGGAAAGGTGCAAAACTATACAGAGAAACAAAACAAAGCAAAACAAACCCCCAAAATGTAGCAACAAATGTGAAGGACAAGAGACGTGTTGTTTTCTCACAAAAGAATGACAGTCTTCCTCTGCATTTTCCTATAAGAAGTTCAAGCTCAGCCATATTTTAATATATTTAATTTCATAATAAAGTCATCCTAAAAGTTCCTATGATGGGTAGAAATAAATGTTATGTAAAACCCTCTTAAGACAGCAAAATTCAGATATGATATAAATAGAGCTATAGGGAAAATTAATTCATGGAAACATCAACACATCTACTAACAGACAAAAATTATTCTCAGTGAAAAACGATTTGTATGGTATTATAACTAATTTTTTGTGTTTCAGGGAATTATTGTATGAACACTGTTTCAAACTATCTATTATTTCAAAGGAGATTTTGAAAAATAATCATGAGGGAAGGTTGGTAAAAAGGATGCTTATAAAATGGAAATGTTTTCCAAGAAATTCCTAGCAAGAGAAAAATGTATATTTATAGGGAGAGGTTTTTCTGTTAACATTTAAATTTAAAATTTTGAAATCTGTACTTACTAAAAGTCATCATTTGGGCCCTTTCTAATGAAGCTAGGTGGAGGTATCGGCTTTCCCCTACTGCTCATAAACAAGGGGAAGAATCCCGGGAAGCAGGGGCCCTGGGGGCTCAATGGACCCTTTGCCTCCTCAGCTTCTCAGAGCACTAGTGTGTTGGACAACCCTCTCTTTCCTAGGGGAAAAGAAGGCAGCCTTGCCGCTGGGCTGGACGGAAGGACCCCCCCACCCCTGTCTTTTCACACAGGAGAAAGGAGATCTGTGGTGAACTGTGTCGACCACTCAGTCGTTTTCTACAGGCCACGTGTTGTCAAATGTCCCACGCTCATCATCTCATTCGTCCTTTTACAGCCATCTCCCATTTGACAAAAAGGGAAACCGAGTCTTTTTGCCGTTCAATAATTTCCTCAAGGTCACGTGATGGTGGAACAGGCTAGAAAGGGAGACTCTCCAAGCTGCTCTTCTTTAAACACCAACGTGAAAGACACACACTTAGGGAGCAACAGGGAGGGTCGGACTGAGCCTTCAAATTCTACATCTCCTCCACTTCCCCAAACTAAGCGTTTTATTGATATATTTCAGAAATGATTAAAACATAAAAATTACATTGTGGTTTTTATAACGTTTGTGATTTCTGGGCTGTAAAAGACAATAAATGATAATAATAACACATCTAACTCTACTCTCAAGAATGATTTTCTACTGTCGTTTATTAGGCATTCACTTCAGTACTTTGCTAAGCACTTTTCACATATTATTTTATGTTTTAAAAAAAGTAGCCATAAATTTTACTATGTAGAACTCAGATAAAATTGAAACACATGCTCTATTTTTAAAGTGACGATATGGACACTATTTTCTGTTTCTTTCATTCTGTGCTTTATTTCAAGAAGACAGATTTCCTATTGTCCAGAGCCTGGTTGTCCCAGGTCTAATGTGAACCTGCAACAAAGAACATGTAGAAGGTGATGGAATCCGTGCGAAAGGCTCAGCAAAGTGAAAAGCACAAAGAACATCTGAGAACTAACTGAAATCCAATTCACTCCTGTGATTTTGTTTTTCACCTGCTTGCAGTAGGTGGCAAAAGCTGGGTGCAGGGTACCTCACAGTATTCCTCTCAGCACTCACAAGCTGGCGAGCTGGCGTACAGTAACCCTAACAGGGAACGTAATTCTGCCATTCCCATTGGTACGGCATTAAGGGAAATGAATCTCATTCTGCTCATATTGGGGAAGTAATTTATCAGATGATTTATTTACAGTGCAGTCTGCATGACAAGTAAACAAATATGTTATTTTTGCCCACTGTAGTTGGATTTTTAAACAAGAGAAAGAGACGGAGTGTCTTTCTAAGATATGGGGGTCGCTCTGACAACAGCTTTGAAAAATAAAGGGACTCCATTACAAGGAGTTTAGCAAGAGCTGATTTACATACTAGAGTAGATCTTTCATGAATGCTGTCAGCGTAGAGTGGAGAAGGGGAGGGAAAGGAAAAAGGCTCCAATTGCGTGCTAGCACAGTGCATGTTGATGAATCCCCAAGCACATGTTAATTAATGCCCTATTGTGTCTGGCAGACTACCAGGGACTGTGATTGTACACAGGCTGCTCCTTTAAATGGAGAGTGGCTTACTCTATATTGAAAAGAAAAAAAAATTGTATTTGTGTAAGCCACAGCTATTCCTTAGGAGTAAGTGTTTTGCTTTTAGTGCAGTTAGGAGAAAGGAGCTGCCACCTATCACAATATTTTATCATTACACTTTAAGAAATACTCAACTCTGGAAAAGTAAGGAAGCACAGAAACTCCATTGTTTGTGAGGACACAATATAACGGCTCCCATTGTCTTATATGAATCATGGTCTAGATTTCACTCAGAAATACTGATAACCAATACTGGTGTCTGCCATCTTCTTCTGTGGCTGAAGCAGCGATTAAAAGGAAAACCTCATAATAAACACATGGAAGGAGTAGGGGAAATGTCATCTGGCTACAGAGGTAAATGGAATGTTGGGTGGAGGGCAGCGATTCTTACAAATCCTCTGGAATTAAAAGCTACAGAAAACTAATGTTAAACCGGAGTCTTAATTTTGATCAAAGTTGGAAAAAGGACTTATTTTCTCAGCTCTCACTTACTTGTTTTAATATGCTTTTTACTACTCATAATGTAAAGGGCTGATAAATATTGGATGTCTTAAAGCTAAGTGGCTTGAAAAATAAATTGCCTTGTATTATTGCTTCTTATGAATAAAATTGACATATCTGAAAGGCTGCTGCTGCAGTCTCATCTAAAAAGATACTGTAGCCAAACAATTAATTGTCTGCATCACTTTAAATAATAATAATAATAATAAATTTGCCTCCAGCTGATTAAGGACCCACCTTTTCCCTAACCTGCACTGCTTTTGCCAAAATGGGCTGGTGCCCTCTTTCAACTGATGTTCTTGCCTTGATGATTTCAGTCTTTGGGGCTTCCTCCTAAGTGGAACTCCCACCGGATTTCCTCGGCACACGCAAGCTTCATTGAAACTAGTCATCCTTGGGCTACAAGGACAGCCTACATCAAAATCGTGGGGGCAGCTCTCCTGTACAAGTGAAAGGCTTAGGCTTAGTGCCTCGCTAGCTTACCTGACTTGGAATTCGTCCAGTCTAGGCTAGTCTCATTCCTGTGCTTTACCCAGGAGGCAAGCCTGCCTCTAATCTTAAACGGGCTTCCCTTTCTTTTCTAATCAGTTAGTCTTTGTGCCCCTAGTCTTTGAAATAAAGCTTCAACTCTCGGAGCGTTTGCTGTCGTCGGGAGAGCTTTCAGCTACTATTACTGTGCTATACGTTCTTCCAGAGGGGAACAAATGGATGGAGCCCCACCTGTGGCTTTCCCTGCCGTTGCTGTCAGAACTGCTGCACAATGGTGACATTCTCGGGGCTAAGTAAGGGAGGTCCTGCCGGCCTATTTTAGAGCTCAGTTCGGATGGAAGCTTACTGTTACATTATCGCACAACACGGTTACAATAGAAGTCACTTTCAAGAGAAGCCGGAGCCTGTACCCTGCCAGTACTTTGTTTAATGAGCCCAAGACAAAAATAACCACATCTAATGGGCAGGGAGGCTAAGAGAAGGACAGAAAACAGTCTTTACAAAGCGCAACTCTGAAATACAACTTGAGTCACACTGCAAACTGAGCTTTAAATTCTCCTTTTGATTCAAATCGACTTGCTTTGCACAAAGGATTTACTTTCTTGCCCAAACCCCAAATTTCTTCAAAAGAGGAAGAGCATTTTTCTGTCATACTTTCCCACCTCTGGGGCCTCTCTCATGTAGTCTCATGGGGACTCCGCCCCCAACACTACAGGGGGGTGAGGGCAGAGAGTTGAGGTAAGAGTACTGTGCCTGTCAAGTTCACCCTGGCCCTTTGAGGAGTACAGGGAGGCAAGGACACACAGGCCTAAACATAGGTCCTTTTCTTTAAAAGCATACCTCTTGACACCTTAACTTGCTTCCGACAGCTCCTCATCAGACTTCATGCGTTAGCTTTGATTCTTTCAATCCACTGGAACTCCTTATTTTCTGATGCCACAGTGCTTCCCTAGATTTCCACAGCTCCATCCCTGGACTGGGTAGCTGCCATTACTGTAGCCTCACCCTATAACCTCCAGATTTACTTTTACTGACACTCGGCTTGGGGCTATTATTTAAGTGGAGAACTATGAATGAACAGTGCAACTCAACCCAAACTTTACCTCCTTGCTTAGGGGCTTCCTCCTCCCCTGCCCTTGACATAGATTGCTTTTCGGTACTTACACTGCCCAATATAGCTATATGTATGCATTTCTCCAAGGAGGCATATGTTTCTTGATGTTAGGGAACAGGTCTCCTTAAATTTTTTTCTTTTGTCCACAATGCTCTGTTTTAATATATAAGTAGTAGTAGTAGTAGTAGTAGTAGTAGTAGTAGTAGTAGTAGTAATAGTTAACATTTAGTGAAATGCATGTGTTTCAGGCTCTGTGCTGCAAGGTTTTCTCAGTGTTTATCTTAATCCTTTCAGGAATCCTGTGAAGTGGGCATTATTATTCATGTGTAATCCATGAAGATGCTAAATCTTCGAAGAGTCAGAAATTTGCCTAAATTTGCATAGTTCACATTCGTGAAAACAAGATTCTAAATCAGGGCTGTCTGACTTCTGAACTTCTTAATCACTGCGTAGAGCTTTGAGTGATTTGGTTGAATGACTAAATTAGAGTAAATTGCTAAAATATTAAGCCATATTCAATAACTGAAATAAAAGTATTACATATCCAATGTTTTTAAATATCAAAGTTATCATGGAAAAGACCTTTTTCTCTTCTTGTTAGGGATTTCCTTGGCATATAAACAGCCTCAAATTAAAGATGAAAATAAAATTAGGTTCCATCAGCCAAGTTGGACAGAGAATGGAAAACGTAATACGAGAAATATATGGTGCCTTATACAGAGTAAACATTCACAATCACCCAATGAAGGAGACTGAATTGACAAAGCAGCCAATCCATGAACACTGAAAGTCAGCTTTTATAGTAGCTACTTTAGAATAATATTCAGGAACTGAATTTGGAATTTTTTTTTCTAGCAGAATATAAACCATTGCAAACATGCAAATGTACACAGAAAACAATCATGAAAATTCCTGCAATGGAATCAAGCTTGATAGACATCTGAGAACCAATAGTCAAGTAGATCATCTGTTTATGCTAGAGATGTTAATTCTCCTGCACTGTCATTGTGAGGCTGAGTGAAAAGTGGCTTGTGCGTATAGGTAACTTGACATATATTGATTTCTCCTGTGAGTACCTCCCTAATTTATTCCTTGAAGAAATGTCTTCTGCAAATAAAACCTTTTTGAGGCTACTCTTTCTCTAAGGTCTTCAGTTCTTGTTAATAGCTCACAAACATTTGGAATTACACATCATTTCCTAAGAAGTCCTCAGTTTCATTATAGAGAATAATGAAGAGTTACAATGTTTATGGGAATTTCTGCCTTATCACCAGAGAAATCTTTGTTATATAATACCAGATGTAAGGTATTACTCAAGAAGAGTTTTATTTGGCTTATCATTTTGAAGGTCCAAGAACTTCACACCCACTCTGGCACTGTGCGTCCTACCATAGCATGGTAGAGCAGCAGAAGAGATAGATGACTGCAGAAGCTAGCTTTGCTCTGCACACACCTGCTCTTTCAAGAATTAATTCACTCCTTGATACTACCATAAACCCCATACAAAACAATGTTGCCTTGTCCAACCACCTCCCACTAAGACCTACATCTTAAAGTTCAATTGCCTTTCAATATTGTCACAGCAGGGAACAACCTCAAACTGTATTCAAATCATACAAAGATATTTCCAAAGTCGGGCAATGGGTATGCTTTTTCCAGGTTCCATAATTCTCAGGGTTGAAAAGGGTATTGTAGATTCTAGTGACACTTAGAAGTCTGAACTTGACCTACAGATATATGAACTTGTCAAGATATGGTTCATGACTTTGAACTGTGACCATCCTTATGGAACAAAGGAGGCCTAGACACTCAATCTCTAGATCTTCAATCCTCTCTCTAAGCATTTTTTTCACCTTCTTACTGTGATAGAAGCCTGACTCTTCCTGATAGGGATGCTGCCGTGGGATGTCC